TTTTTTTTTTTTTTTTTTTTAATGGGGGCTTCTTGCTGTGCCACCCAGGCTGGAGTTCAGTGGCACAATCAGCTCATTGTAACCTTTAGCTTCTGGGCTCAAGGGATCCTTCTGCCTCACCTTCCTGAGGAGCTGGGACTATAGATACATGCCATTGCACCTGGCTAATTTTTAAAATTTTTTGTAGAGATGGGGTTTCACTGTGTTGCCCAGGCTGGTTTTGTTGTTGTTGTTGTTAGTTTTGTGTGTGTTTTTTTTGAAACAGAGTTTTGCTCCTGTCTCCCAGGCTGGAGTACAGTGGCACAGTGTCAGCTCACTGCAACTTCTGCTTCCCAGGTTCAAGTGATTCTCCTGCTTCAGCCTTCTGAGTAGCTGAGACTGTAGGTGCCTGCCACCACGCCTGGCTCATTTTTAGTATTTTCAGTAGAGACAGGCTTTCACCATGTTGTCAAGGCTGGTCTTGAACTCCTGACCTCAGGTCATCCACCCACCTTGGCCTCCAAAAGTGCTGGGATTACAGACGTGAGCCACTGTGGTCAGCCTGTCTCTATGAATTGACTATTATAGGTACTTAATGTAAATGGAATCATATTTGTCCTTTTTTTAAAAAATTATTTTTCTCATTTGAGACAGAGTCTTTGTTGCCTAGGCTAGAGTGTGAAAGTGGCTCACTGCAGCCTTGACCCCCAGGCTCATGTGATCTGCCTTAGCCTCCCAAAGTATTGGGATTCCAGGTGTGAGCCACTGCACCTGGCCCAACAAATCCTTTTGTTTACTGTTCTTCATAACAGTTTGAGAAAAATAATATCTTTTTAAAGAATAGAGAAAAGGGAGGCACAGAGGGGCTAAGTAATACCTGAGGTAGGTTGTACAGCTGGTCGTTGGAAGAGACAGGATTTTATTCCTCAAAAGTTAATGTTGTTATTATCTCCTCCATTTCTGACTCTAGTCATCGAATCTTTTTTCTTTTTTTCTTGGTCAGCCTAGCTGAGGATTTGTCAATTGTTTAGATTTTTCTCAAAGAGACAACTTTTGGATTTATTAATTTTCTCTATTGTTTTTCTGTTCTCTATTTCATTCATTTCTGCCCCAGCATTTGTTGTTTCTTTCCTCTTGCTTACTTTAAATTTAGTTTGCTCTTCTTTTCTAATTTTTCTGGTATCTTAAAGTGAAAGGTTAGGTTATTGATTTACAGTCTTTATTTTTTTAAACAAATAGACATGTGGATTTCCCACTCTGGGTTCCCCTTCCACAACAGCATGGGAGCTGTCTTCTCTCTCTCTGTCTCTCTAATAAATCGCTCTTCCATGAAAAAAAAAAAAAAAAGGAAAAAAGACATGTATGGCCAGGCATGGTGGCTCATACCTGTAATCCCAGCACTTTGGGAGGCTGAGACAAGAGGGTAGCTTGAGCTCAGGGGTTTGAGACCAGCCTGGGCAACATAACAAGACCCCATCCCTACAAAAAATAAAAAAATTAAGCCAGGTGTGGTGGTGTTTCAGCCATTCCAGAGGCTGAGGTGGGAATATCGTTTGAGCCCAGGGTGTGAGGCTGCAGTAAGCCCTGATTGCATTGCTGCACTCCAATGTGGGCAATAAAGTGAGATACTGTCTCAAAGGAAAAAAAGGCATTTATAGCTATGAATTTTCCTTCAAGCACTGCTTTAGCTGCATTCCATAAATTTTAAACATTTTTATTCATGTTGTATTTTCTAATTTTCCTTGGAATTTCTTCTTTGAATCATTCATTGACTAAGAGTATGTTGTTTAATTTCCACATACTTCATGTATTTGTGAGTTTCCCATGTTTGTTTCCCAAATTTCTAATTTCATTATATTGTCCTCAGAGAACACACTTTGTATTATTTGAGTCCTTTTAAGTTATTTGAGGTTTGTTTTATGACCTAGCATATGGTCTTTCCTGGAAAATGTTCCATGTGCGCTTAAGAATAATGTGGCCCTGGCATGGTGGCTTACGCCTGTAATCCCAGCACTTTGGGAGGCTGAGGTGGGAGGATCTCTTTAGCTCAGAAGTTTGAGATGAACCTGGACAACATAGTGAGACACCATCTCTACAAAAATTAGCTGGGGTGGGCATATCTGTACTCCAAGCTACTTCGGAGGCTGAGGTGGGAGGATAACCTGAGCCTGGGAAATTGAGGCCACAGTGAGCTGTGATCATGCTTCTCCACTCCAGTCTGGTTGACAGAGCAAGATCCCATCTCAAAAAAATAAAAAAATATATATATATAAATTAAAAATATGTGTATTCTGTGGTTGTAGGGTACAGTGTTCTGTAGATGGGTGTTAGGTCTAGTGGTATAGGGTGCAGTGTTCTGTTCATTGGGGTTAGGTCTAGGTGGTTGGTAGTGTTGTGTTCTGTAGTTGTAGGGTGCAGTGTTCTGTAGATGGATGTTAGGCCTAGGTGGTGTAGGGTGCAGTGTTCTGTAGATGGGTGTTAGGTCTAGGTGGTGTACGGTGCAGTGTCCTCTAGACGGGTGTTAAGTCTAGGTGGTTGTAGGGTGCGGTGTTCTGTAGATGGGTGTTAGGCCTAGGTGGTGTAGGGTGCAATGTCCTCTAGATGGGTGTTAAGTCTAGGTGGTTGTAGGGTGTGGTGTTCTGTAGATGGGTGTTAGGTCTAGGTGGTGTAGTGTGTAGTGTCCTGTAGATGGGTGTTAAGTCTAAGTGGTTGTAGGGTGCAGTGTCTTGTAGATGGGTGTTAGGTCTAGGTGGTTGTAGGGTGCAGTGTTCTGTAGATGGGTGTTAGGTCTAGGTGGTGTGGCATGCAGTGTCCTGTAGATGGGTGTTAAGTCTAGGTGATTGTAGGGGGCAGTGTTCTGTAGTGTTAGGTCTAGGTGGTGTGGGGTGCAGTGCTCTGTAGATTGGTGTTGGGTCTAGGTGGTATAGGGTGCAGTGTTCTATAGATGGGTGTTAGGTCTAGATGGTGGAGGGTGTGGTATTCTGTAGATGGATGTTAGGTCTAGGTGATACAGGGCACAGTTTTCTGTAGATAGGTGTTAGGTCTAGGTGGTATAAGGTAGTGTTCTGTAGATGGGTGTTAGGTCTAGGTGGTGTAGGGTGCAGTGTTTGGTAGATGGATGTTAGGTTTAGGTAGTGTAGGGTGCAGTGTTCTCTAGATGGATGTTAGGCCTCGGTGTATAGGGTGCAGTGTTCTGTACATGAGTGTTAGGTCTAGGGGTGTAGAGTGCAGTGTTCTGTAGATGTGTGTTAGGTCTGGGTGGGGTAGGATAGTGTTCTGCAGGTGGTTGTTAGGTCTAGGTGGTGTAGGGTGCAGTATTCTGTAGATGGGTGTGTGCCGTAGGTGGGAGTTAAGTCTAGGTGGTGTAGGGTGCGGTGTTCTGTAGATGGGTGTCAGGTCTAGGTGGTGTAGGGTGCAGTGTCTATAGGTGGGTGTTAGGTCTAGGTGGTGTAGTGTGCAGTGTTCTGTAGATGGGTGTCAGATCTAGGTGGTGTCAGGTGCAGTGTCTGTAGATGGGTGTTAGGTCTAGGTGGTATAGTGTGCAGTGTTCTGTGGATTGGTGTTAGGTCTAGGTGGTATAGGATACAGTATTCTGTAGATGGGTGTTAGGTCTAGGTGGTGTAGGGTAGTGCTCTGCAGATTGGTTTTAGGTCTAGGTGGTTTTAGTGTGTTCAAGTCTTATGTTTTACTATTGATTTGCTGCCTACTTCTATCCATTATTGAAAGTGGGAATTGAAGTCCAACTATTGCTGTTGAGTTGTCTTCTCCCTTTATTTCTGTCAGCCTTTGCTTCCTGTATTTTGGTGCTCTACTTTTTTCATATATGTTTAGAACTTTTATGTCTTTCTGATGGAGTAACCTTTTTCCAATTATAAAGTATCCTGCTTTATTAGGAAATAGTATCTTAGACCCAGACAATCTCTTGGCTCCCAAGCCCATGCTCTGATGCCCGTACCAGCTGCCCTGTCCCTGAAGGTGTGTCCTCTCTATTTCTCTACCTCCTGTATCCTCATTCGTTTTGGACTCACCTAAGTGATCTTTGTCAACTTGGTCTTCCTGTCCTGGATCTTGATAAGACCAGCTGAAATTTTATTCCCTACTCTGAGGAAATCCTCAGCCCTTCCCTAGATGCCTGTAGATTCCTAGAAGTTCCCATTTTCCATCATCTTGGCCTTTGGGGCCTGCTTTCCTACAGCATACCCTGGTGCCGTGTAGTTGCTATGGCTTGAATGTGCCCCAAGAGCAACGTTCATGTGTTGTAAACTTAATCCCCAATGCAATAGTGTTGAGAGATGGGACTTTTCAGAGGCTCTGCCCTCACAAATGGATTAATGCTGTTACCACAGCGGTGGATTCCTGATAAAAGGTGAGTTCAGCACCCTCTTGCCTTCTCTCCTGTGTACTCTCTCACCATGTGAGACCTTCCGCCATGAAATGAGGCAGCAAGAAGGTCCTCACAGATGTAATTCCTTGATCTTGGACTTCCCACCCTCCAGAACTGTGAGCCAGCTCTGTTCATTATAAGTTACCAGTGTCAGGTATTCTATCACAGAAGCACAAAATTGACTAAGTTGGTAGTTTTCACAATTCTGTTTCCCATTCGTCTCCGCCAGGCTCCCCTTAGACTCCCTAGTCACTAAATCTTGGTAACACAAGTGAGCCCTTTACTGTGGGAGGTGAGAGGAAAGGCACAATTTACAGAAACACAGAGGTCAGGTTCCTTTTCTCCATCCTTGGGCATCCTCTGGGCCCTGGCTTTATAGGGTTTGACTCATCCTACCAGCACCCAGCCTCCTGTCACTGTCGCCTGCTCCTGGCTCTGCTCGCCTCTTCCCTCCATTTCCCAGCCCTGCTTTCCTCTCTGGAGCAAAAGCACTTCTCTCCCTCTGCCTCCTGAAGAGCCATTTGATGGCTGCTTTTGTTGTCGTCGTTTCTTTGGCCCCTCCAGGGTCAGGTTCTAACTGTCTTCCTTGGTCTAGCCCGTAGTAATTTAGTAAGAGGGATATGGAGGCAGTTAGGTAAGAAAACTTCCCACCTGGCTTCCCATGCTGCCTTTTTTTTTTTTTTTTTTTTTTTTTTTTTTTTTTTTTT